CACGCATGTACTCTCCTAAATAAACTGAAACAAAGATGTCTCGTGTCATTATTAAGCGAGACGCGATCGCGAAAACATGGCTACCGATGATAATGCCAGATCACATGCTGCTTTGGCGACTCGTCGGAAAATCGTAGAGCCAGGCTGGGAAATTCTGTCGCATTCACCATACTCCCCAGACCTAGCACCCTCCGATTATCGCTTGTTTCTCTCTTTGCAAAACTTTTTACAGGAAAAAAAATTCAAAACTGAAGCTGATGTCAAGCAAGCGCTAGTCGAGTTCTTCGCCTCTAAAAGTAAATCATTTTCTAAAAATGGCATTTACAAGTTACCATCACGCTGGTAAGTCATAAGTAACGATGGAAAGTATATTCTACGATAAATATTATTAAATGTGTGCAAATTGTGTCATATTTCAATTCAAAAACGGACAGAACTTTCCGGTAGACCTAATTATTACGTAGAAATTGACTGTTACAATATTGGCGATAATTATAGCAACAAGTTCTACAAACTTTAATATGCTTTTCTTCGTTGTACAATAAACTTAAAGCTTCTTTATATTCAATTTACTTATATCTTCGTGTAAACAAAGATAAGATACGATATAATTCTTTCGGTGTACCGCTCGATTATCCGAATGGTTCAAGGAAACGTGAGCGTTCGGTTAATAGAGCAGGTAAGACTTAAGTAGACTGTTAGATGAAATCCTAATTGATTTGTAGAATATATGATGTCGTATATAATTTCCGGCAGACCTAATATTAGATTGGCCAATAAGTTCGAGCGGTTTTCGACAATGTTCATTTTCTCGCTAGTCTAGTTCACGATTAATTTCACTCCGAATCGTTAATACGCAATGTCAAGCAATAGCGAACAAGCAACTTGTACTTTCAACTCCAAATTGTTAAGATTAATTTTGATGTTTATAATTAAACATTGTATCGAAGATAGACGACTTTCGATCGCTTGCCAACAATCATAAAAACGAGTCGCACGGTTCAAATAATCGTATCTCCTCTTCCAAAATTATTCATCTTGGCTTACACGCTGAGGATAAATATTATTAAATGTATGAAAATTGTGTTATATTTCAATTCGAAAACGGACAGAACTTTCCGGGTAGACCTGATATTTTGAAAAATAGGTAGACCAATGGTACCCGAGCAAAAACTGTTACGATCAGGTGATTCCATAAATATACTTTTTATTTTGCATTTCTTGCACTTTGTGTTCGTTTCATCTATGTTTTGTCTATGTAAAAACGGACAGAACTCTCCGGTAGACCTAATATTATCACGAAAATTTCACAAATTGAGGGGGCCGATAAATTCGCGAGCCGATGATAGGAAAAATTAGATCAACCGATACCGGGGGTCTGCGAAACAGGTCTATCGTCGAACAAAGAACGTTGCACCGTGTACGCTTTCTATTAAATATTTGTCAATTTTCTCGATAGGATGTATCGAAACCGTGGCGATTCATTATTCACGGGTCCGCTCGTTCGAAAAGTTTCGGCAAAACAAAACTACAAGGAGGCGCTGAGAGCATCCGCTTATTACTCGCGTCCTCCATCCACAATTTCATCGGAATATCGCTAATGCGGCTTTCTCTACAACCGATCATTAAAGTTGCAGGTTCCGCGGGGCAAAAACGGGGCAGCTTTACTTAGCGATCGGTTTATCTCCTCGCGTCGTCTAAAATTTCATGCTTTATGCTATTCAGAAATGCTACGTCGTCGCTGTGGGGCAATCGCGCGTCGAACGCGGTAAAAAATCATTTTAGCGGAGGGAACTTTTGCCAACAGTTAATTATACATGTCGACTATAATCTACCATGTCTTCTTTTTTACCATTTACGTGGATTTG